GACACTCAGGTTCAATTCCCCACTCTGCCATGACCTTGGGCCAGGCACTCTCTTTCAGCCTAACCTACCTCGCAGGGTTGTTGTGAGAATTAAGTGGAGGAGGGAAGAATGACATGATAACTTGTATGAAGTAAGTCATAATAGTGGGTGTTACAATACCTTGCATGCAAGCCCCATGTCGAAGTGTCAAACCATCTGGCTCCCATTGGCTCAACTCCTTAATTTAGGATTAGTTCTAAGCCTGGGAGCAACAGGAAATACTTCTTTTAAATTCTGAGGCTGGTCAGCAATAGTGCTAAGGGCAGTCCCTCTTCACACAAGCGGGCACAGGAAGCCACCTTATACCAAGTCAGGCTGCTGGGCCCTCTAGCTGATACGCAGCAGTTCTCCAAGGTCTCGGGAAGAGAGAATATTTTCCCAGCCTCCTTACTTATGATCTTTTTAAGTGAAGAAGCTGCCTTGAATATTGTGTGATAGAGGAGATACTAATGAGGAGGAACTGCATGAATGAATCCAGAGGGACAGCTATGTTAGCCGGCTGTAGCAAAACTACACAGGAGTCTTGTAGAACCTTAAAGACTGCCACGTTGTTGTTTTTTACCCTAGCCTAAATTTGTCTGGACAAAGTGAGTCCATAAAAGCTTATGCTAGAATGAAAACTTTTAAACAGGATTCCTGTTTATTTTACCTGAATAAACACTAATGATTCAGAGCTAGAAATGCTAGAATGACACTTTATTTTACTGTATGGGTTGCTTGCTTCCACTGATCTCTCTCTCTCATTCTCTCTCTCTCACACACATACCAATACAAATTTCTTTTCTGATTGAATGTTTAATATTGGGAGTTCAGAGATATCCCCCCCTCTCCATGCCTAAAGCTCTACATTTCTGATCAATAAGTTGATATAGGGTGGATGAAAACATTCAGTGGTAGTTATCCGCTGGACAAGTCACTGGACTAGAGGGCCTTATGCTCTTATGAAAAGATCCACACGCCAACAGGGACTGGGAGACGGGGGTCACAGGCTTCATTATACACTGTGAAAATGTAGGGTTTGAGCCATAAAGGTTGGATCCTACAGTAATCTCAGCTAAGAGTGCTCTTGCTTCAGGTGGAGGCTTCTAGTACTAGAGCAGGGGTTCCCAACCTTTTTGAGCTTGTGGGCACCTTTGGAATCCTGACACAGTGTGGTGGGCACAGCCACAAAACGGCTGCCACAAGAGGTGGAGCCAGCTACAGAATGGTTGTCCCAGCTTACCTTCAATCACACGGTGAAGATCCTTGTGCTTTGATAACAGCTGCTGTCACAGTAACATTTTAAAAAATCTGCACAACCAGTCAGAAGCCTTGTTGAACAAAAGCCTTCACCTGACCCCACCCACTTTCTAAAAACAGCTGGTGGGAGCCATCCATGATGCCCATGGGCACCACATTGGGGGACCCCTGCACTAGAGGAAGGCTTCACTATCTGAGTAGAGTGGCAGGACCCAGCCCATCAAACCGCTTTCTGTTGATCCTCCAGACCATTCCTGCATTTTGCTCAGTATTGTCTCCAGAATCTTTGGTAGAGAAAGGTCTTTCTCAGAATAAGAGTTGAATTTTATACATCGCTTTTCTCTACCCTAAGGAGTCTCAAAGGGGCTCACAATTGCCTTCCCTTCCTCTCCCCACAGCAGGCACCTTGTGAGAGACTTCAGAGAGAACTGTGACTGGCCCAAGGTCACCCAGCTGGCTTCATGTGGAGGAGTGAGGCATCAAACCCAGTTCCCTCGATTAAAGTCTGCCACTCTTAACCACTATACCACACCGGCTCTCAGTGTTTACTTCCTGAAATCCTTTAAAGGGAGATATGCTGCCAGAGATTCAACTTTGGTTTTTCTGAATACAAAGGAGGTGCACAGCCCCTTCCCAAAATCGTGGTGGAAACTGCCATCAAGTTGCAGCTGACTTATGGCAACCGTCTAGGGTCTTCAAAGCAAGAAAGGTTCAGAGGTGGCTTGCCATCGCCTGCCTCTATAACAACCCTACAGGTCTTCTCTTAGTGGTCTCCCATCCAAATACTAACCAGGGCCAACTGAGTTTTGCTTCCAAGATCTGATGAGATCAGGGTAACTAGGCCATCCAGGTTAGGGCCTCTGGAAAATACAAACTGGTTGATCCCTGTCTCTGATCCACTCGTTTGTCCTTTCCTCTCTTTGGCCTCTAGGTGGCACTGTCTAGGCATTGTAGAACCCCCATGCAACTGTTTCAGCTGGAATTTAATTAGAATTCTATCTTGACCGACTTTGCAATTCTGTTCTAAGCACACAACAGGTTGCCCTCAGGCAGAGCATTTAATGTCTCCTTATGTGTTATTTGTAATGAGGAATTTGCTAATCTCATATACATCTGAGGAAGGTGAGCTCTGACACACAAAAACTAATGCTCAACTAAATGTTGTCAGTCTTTAAGGAACTTCCATCTTATCTTGCTTATTTAGAATATATCAACACTGTCTCTCCAGAGTCCTAGTGAAGGCAGCTTACAATTAAAACACATCACAGTATTAAAAACAAGCTATTGGACATAGATAGCATTAAAAACTATCCATAAAACAGACACAGAACATTAGAAAACTGATAAGATAAAAACCCTAATTATAAGTATGGTGTCTAAAAGAAACTTGGTACTAGGCAAGCTTAATAGGGAAAGGTGTTCCAAAGGCAAGGTGCCACCACAGAAAATGCCCTGTCTTTGGTTGCCACCCACATGACCTCTGAAGGTGGGGGCACAGAGCGCAGGGCGTGAGAGGCAGGTCTTAACTGATGGCCTGGATACTATAGGAGAAGACAGTCCTTGAGGTAGCCTGGCCCCAAGCCATTTAGGGCCTTAAAAGATAAGACCCTGGGCCTTTAAATAGTGGGTGCAGGAGGAGAACTTCCTTCTTTTTAAATTGTTGCCTAAAGGTTGTTTGATCCTTGCAGCAGGAGCAGATTTCTGACCACCATGCCTGTGGGCTTTGCTGTTCTGCCAGGGACCCCATCCCTGAGGCCAGCGTGAGCCAGAATGTTGCGGTCTGGAGCTCTCACCCAGAACAGGCACACCAGGCCATCTCTCCCCTTTGAAGCCTTTCTCAGGTATTTACCATAGCAGCTCCTGTGCTCTACCGAAACAGGAACACAAGATAACAGGCTCACAAACCATCCAGTTGTGCTTCCTCCTCCTTTTCTGCATTCCCTTGGGGGTCACCCTGAGGGGTGAAATTTAGCTGGCAAGTTTCTTGGGGCAGGAGCCATTTTTTTCTGCTTATACTCCTGCCTAAAGAGCCGGCTAGAATCAGAAGATTTCCATTGAAAGTGGGAAAGGTGAGGTATAACTATTGCAATTCAGTCAGTCAAGCCCCTCCCACCACTGAAATGGCTGCCTACAAAAGACAAAAAAAGGACAAAAGGAAAATAAGGAACAACGTTTGCACAAAATTTGCATATGCTGATTAAAAAAATTATTATGGAACATTTTATTTTAACATGATGAATAAATTATTTTAAGGTGTTCAAATATTTTCCAAATCATTTCTAAAATATATATATATAGTATCAGATTGATCTAATTTCTGTGCACTGAGGACAAGCAAGTCCTAGGTTACAAACTGAACTCTCCAATGCAAGAATAAGATGCATTTCTTCCTTTAGGAGGTGCTATTGTCAGAAGAAAATAAAAAGGTTTCAGTTTTGTTTTTGCATGTGGGTGGGTATTCTGTTTGTAATAATTGTTTGGGTACACTATATTTTTAATATGCTAGTTGTGATGATTTCATGCCAAGTAAAAATGTCCATAATCATATTTTATGTTCCTAAAGTAACAGAATGACTTTCAATCTAGAAAAGACAAAAGAAATGCTAATGTAGCATTTTTTTCAATTTTTCCGAAAATTTCCGTTTCCCCCCTATTTAGTTTTGTCTTTGTATATCTTAAAACATCATCGTGTTACATGTTAATTCGCTGTTCAGCCCGTCTATAAGTTTGAACCTTCCATTCTAATGTATTTGACAAAGTGTGCATGCACACGAAAGCTCATGCCTCGAATAAACCTTTGTTGGTCTTAAAGGTGTCCCTGGACTCTAAATGTGTTCTCCTGCTTCAGACCAGCATGGCTGACCACCTGGATCTAATCTCATTCTCTCATTTTATCCTGATAACAATAGCCCCGTGAGGTGGATTAGGTTGAGAGAGAGCTTTCATGGGAAGCTAGGGAATGCAATGCTAGCTCTTAGGGTTACCAACCTCCAGGTGAGGCCTGGGGATCTCCTGGAATTACAACTGATCTCCAGACTACCGAGAGATCACTTCCCCAGGAGAAAATGGCTGCTTTGGAGCGTGGACTCTATGGAGGTAAACCCTGCTGAGGTCCCTCCCCTCCCAAAGCCTCATGCTTCCCAACTAGGGCTGCCAAGTCCCTCCGGGGGGCGGATAATCCCCCGCTTTGGAGGCCCGATTTCCGCCCGCCTCGGAATCGGGCCCCGGGGGAACCCCCCCCCGCCGCGTGCACGTCAGCCAGATGTGACATGATGACGCCGGGCACGCTGGGGGCGGGGCCACAGCCATCTGAGGGGAAAACTGAGGGAGCCCCCCGCCGTGAAGAAAAACGGACTTGGGAACCCTATTCCCAACCCAAAGTTGGCAGCCCTGCCTCTTCTGGATCCTAGTCCTACACTAACAACTACCTCACAGTGGCTGTGTGTGTGCTGATGAGGCGGCGCCTCAGGAACCACCACGCTTCCACAGCTGCGTCAGCTAGTCCTACTGGTCAGAAGTAGGGCTTGGACATTTCACACAAAAAACCTCACACACACAAAAACGCTTCCATAATGTTGTGTGTCATTTTATTTGGCACTAATAAAAGCTATCACATAGATTTTAGAAGAAGAAGAAGAAGAAGAAGAAGAATCCTCTAGATTTTACCCTTTTGCTCTAAAAAACATACCAGCCCGGCAGCAGGCCTGAGCCTCCCCACTCACCTGGAAGATGTCGTTGGCACACTTGCGGCACAGGTTGTGCTGGCAGGGCAGGATCACAACCGGCTTGGTGAACATCTCCAGGCAGATGGGGCAGATGAGCTGCTTCTCCAGGTTGTCCATGCTCTGCGAGGTCCCCAGCATCGGCTTGAAGCCCACGGCAAAGTTCATCCCCGCGGCACCAGCGCTGCCCCCGCCACAGACTCCGACAGGCTGTGCAGACGACGCGGCCCACCCTCCCGGTTGCCTGGATCTTGCTCCTCTGTGCCTCTGTCCCCTTCAGGCTTTCTCCCCTCACTCTCTACCCGGCTTCTTCCCCTCTTGTTCAGCTTTCCTCCCTCTGTCTCCCTGGCTTCCCTGCTTGCCACTTGCTGCTCCCTTGGCCTACCTCAGGTGGTTTTCTTCACTCCCGTAAGTTCTTTCTACCCACCCAAACTTGCTTCTCTTCCTCCTTGGGCCTCTCTCACTCCCTCCCGTTCAGCCAGCCTCTCACTCCTGACCCTCGAGCCCTGTCCTGGGGTCCATAAGGCTATTTTTAGCAGCAGGCCTAGGTCACGTGACCCCCATGGAATCCCAGCTGCCATTTTTGTCCCAGTGTTCGGGAGGACAAGGCAACAGCTGTCAGCAGCATCAGGTGACACTTAGTCATTTTCCCCCAACGGCCTATGACAACTTCTGAAGACTGTGGGGAGGGGGGCGCTGGCTCAGTCGGAGCAAGGCTGTACGAGGTTCCCAAGGATGTAAACCAAGGATTGGTCCCACGTCCTGGTCTTAAATTCAAACCTGACTCTGCCAAGAACTCCCACCCCCCCCCCCCCCACTGGATTTTGGAGACTGAAATACAAGAGTCACATCAGAACTACAGCAGAGACTTTAGAAATTAATAAAGCAAGTCCATCGTGTGCAGAAGGAATCCAAAGTACAGACACATGCTCGCTGTCTGTCTCCTCTGAATCTTACCAAATGGATCAGTTTTTCCATAAATAGCCTGAGTTGCATAATCCTGATTATTGGGCTTGCCATGCCCTGCATTGTCTTCCAGTTTGGTGTAGTGGTTAAGAGCAGCAGACTCTAATCTGGAGAGCCAGGGTTGATTCCCCACTCCTCCACATGCAGCTGCTGGGTGACCTTGGGCAAGCCACTGTTCTCTCAGAGCTGTTCTCTCAAGAGCAGTTCTCTCAGAGCTCTCTCAGCCCCACCTACCTCACAGGGTATCTGTTGTGAGGAGAGAAAGGGAAGGAGATTGTAAACCACTCTGAGACTCCCAAGTGAAGAGCGGGGTATAAATCCAACTTTTCTTCTTCCACTGCTTGCAAACCAAACTGCAGCAATGACAATTCAGTTCAGGGTGAACTCAAGTTCTTTCCCCCCCCTGCACTAATGTTTTTACGGTATCCAATTGGTAACTGAAATTTCCTTGTATACTAATAAAAATGTAAAAAACACAACCCTAGCATACAACATGTATTCGCAATATATATAATATAAACAAACAATACAGTATCCAGAGGACGTTTATTTGCCTCTGTATCACCAAGTTCTATTTAAAAGGAGATCTTAAAATGGAAGATCTCACATTCTTTTCTGAAGGCAGATGATGCAGGGCTCTAACCTAAATGTTTTCAAGAGGGACTTACAGTGGGGTCACCACAAAAAAAGAACATGCTGGAAAAAAACATTGGCTAGCCGCTAAAGCAAGGTCTCTTCACGTGATCTTACCTGAATGGATAGGTGTTCACCAGGCTCCTATTGGAAGTGGTGAAAGAGTCCCATATCCCAGAGACCACTTAGCAGGGATGCAAGGAAATCCGAGTTCATTCACAGCAGTGTGAGACTTCTGCTGTTTGAAAACTTAAGGTTTTTTTGTTTATAAAAAGCACTACATTTCAAAAGCTTTCAGCAAAGATATGAAAAAGGTTTTGGTCTTGAAAAGATTACAACTGATTTGGATCCAGGTAGATTTCCCCCCCACTCAGTTGCACCCTCTTTACTACAGGTCCCACCCCACATAGCTTTTGTATGTACAGATCCTAAGATCCCCAGCATAGCCTTTTTTAGTGGTCAAAGGGGACCCTTGTCCCTTCCTTTTTTCACCAGCAGAACTGCTGGTTAATTCCCACCAAATACAAAGTAAACGTGAACACCTGGTGAAACAGTACTCTTGTCACCGTCACATACCTGAGACTAATCTAAGGTAGCCAGGTCCCCAGCATCCCAGACACGGAGACTCCTGGGGGCAGGGTCTGGTGATGTCACACTGAACAGCCGTACTAATGGTTGTACTTCCAGAAGCCACTAGGAATTGTGCCAAGAAAAATGTGGCTTTGAATGGACGGGCTAGTCACACACACAAATAATATGGAAATTAACTATGTGGTAAAATGTCAAGGATGAGATGGTTAGACAGTGTCATAGATGCAACGAACATGAAATTGAGCCAACTTCAGAGGATGGTGGAAGACAGGGAGAGTTGGACCCGACTGTGCGACTGAACAACAACAACAAAAAAGTCAAGTATTGGCAGTGTGTGCCAGGTTATTGCATCTCATGACAAACACTCATATGCAGTCATTGCCACAAGCTGCACAGATCATAGACATAAGGTTTACCATCTGACACCTTGTTAGACTGTCACACCAAAAGGGACAGAGACTGGGAAAGTCAGACAGCTAGATAGTATTTTCTACCACTTGAGGAAAGAAAATCAGGATTGATTCCTGAAGGGCACAGACTCCCAAGGGGAAATCATAAATTCTCAGGACATAAACTCTCTGTGCCCCTTGTTCGTCTGTCTCGAATAGACCCAAGTCATAAAGGACTAAACCTTTACCTTGGGACTCCAGCTTGACCACATGATTTATTAATTTTTTTATTTTTCAAATTTATACCCCGCCCTCCCCAATAGGCTCAGGGCGGCTGAAAGAACTAAGGAAATGAAGGACCTGGCGGTAAGAGGAAGGGTTATCACACTGGGCAGAGGCCTGGGATGGCAGCAGGGCTTTTCCAGTCGCCTTCAATCTGAGGGAATGGGGCTTGTGAGAAACCATTCCTTCACAGAGGGCCTTTATAAAAACTGGTGATTTCTCGATTACTGACAGGGTATCTTGGATGTAGAGGGTAGCCTTGTTGGTCTGTAGCAGAACAGCTCAATTTGAGTTCAGGAGCCCCTTAAGGACCAACAAGATTTTCAGGCTGTAAGTTTTCAAGAGTCAAAGCTTGGACAAAGTTGCTGCTGGACTTGAATCTAGCTATTATAAGGATCTGTTGTCACAATCTCATAATTCCCACCATTTTCAAAACGAAGTCTCTAGTCCTTTTGGTTGCGGAGCTATAGAGATTTTGAAAGAACTGCCAAATATGTGGGGAAGCTGACAGCCCCAAGATTTCAATTTGCCGCCCAGATGAGTATGCAAACCTGAACCTCAGGGCCAAATCCTGAAGATCAAACCAGTGGATCAAATCAGGACCTCTAGGGAGTGCACTCAAATTTAAAATCTTCTTCCTTGGCATCTCTACAGACAGCCACTTAACTCACAACTGTTATCTTAACTCACAGCTAAGAAAGAAAGAAATACAATTAATACTGGGCCAGTTCCAGCTCTTGACATGCTTCATGAGGATAATTAAATAGTCCGATGCCAATTTGAATGAGCGTGATAGATTAACCCACACACTCAAGCCAAAAGGGGGGGGGAATCCAAATGCCTTAGCGATGGAATGACTGGATATAGGGAAATCTGAAGGAAGGAAGAGAGCTGGCCTAGTGTAACAGAGTGTTGGACTAGGGTCCGTCTGGGAGACATGGGTTCGAATTCCCCACTGCCATGGAAGCTTGCTGGGTGACCCTGGGCCAGTCATGCGCTCTCATTCTAACCTACCTCACAGGGCTATTTTTGTGAGGATAAAATGGAGGAGAGGAGAACAATGTAAACTGCCACTGGGTCCCCACCGAGGAGGAAGGCGGGATGTAAATGAAGTAACAAAATAAAGGGGTATAACAAACATATATGGACTCTGCGGAAACCACCCACCAAAAGTCTGTGATGACCCTCTAGCCTAACCTACCTCACAGGCTCAGGTGGGGCAACCATGTTGGTCTGAAGCAGCAGAACAAAGTTTGAGTCCAGAGGCACCTTCAAGACCAACAAAGTTTAATTCTGGGTATAAGCTTTTGTGTGCATGCACACTTCTTCAGATACAGTGAAACAATTTCCTCAACCATTACATATAGCTGGGGGGGGGGGCTAGTTGCCAGGAAGGGCTAGTTAGAGCCAAGATGCATAAGTAACTGGGCAATTATAGCTGAGATTGGATTAAGGCGGTTGGTAAGAAGGGAGCACTCACTGGAAAAGACCCTGATGCTGGGAAAGATTGAAGGTCAAAGAAGACGGGGACGGCAAAGGATGAGATGGTTAGACAGTGTCATCGATGCAACGAACATGAAGTTGAGCCAACTTCAGAGGATGGCGGAAGACCGGAAGGCCTGGCGAGAGTTCGTCCATGGGGTCGCGAAGAGTCGGACTCGACTGTGCGACTGAACAACAACAACAAGATCTGTGAATGGCAGCGAATGAGCATACGAATACAAGAGTCAACCAACAGATGTGAGAAAAAAGCCTGAGTCCAGTGGCACCTCCAAGATAACAAAGTTCAATTCTGGGTATAAGCGAGAACTGAGAGACTTCGCATGTGTAGATGCACACACCTTCGTTGAAACAGATGACCTCAGACGTTACATACAGGTAGGGGGGTACGTCTCTCAGTTCTCGCTTATACCTAGAATTGAACTTTGTTACCTTGGAGGTGCCACTGGACTCGAATTTTGTTCTCGCATCTCCAGTGACACCTTTCTAGGGGTCAAAGATCCACCCTTGCCAACACCTGTGCATGCATCTAAAGAGCACTTCGGTCGGGGTCGCAACACCAGCTGGTGACCCCAGGCCCTAGGGAGGCCAAGCTTGTGGCAACAAGGGCCAGGTCTTTCTCAGTGGCGGCTCCTACCTGGTGGAATGAGCTCCCAGAGGAGATCAGGGCCCTGCGGGACCTTATCCAGTTCCGCAGGGCCTGCAAGATGGAGCTCTTCCGCCAGGCTTATGAGTAGGAGCTGCCACGGCCACTGCCACCACCGCTTCTTTATTGAGAGAGACCACTGGGCGGGTGGGGTAAAGTCTTCCATCACCCCAGTCTTCCCCCCCTGTGTGCAAGATGTTAGGAGCCTATTTATGCATATGTAGAACTGGTTTTAAATCGTTTTAATCTTGTATTTATATTTGTAATTTGTATACTGAATGCACCTGGTGCCTTATGTGAGCCGCCCTGAGCCCGTTCGCGGGGAGGGCGGGGGTATAAATGTCATAAAATAATAAATAAATAAATAATCATCTATCAGTCTTAACCCAGGTCTTCATTTTGAACTGAGATTGCCGGATGAGAACAGAGAAAGCAGCACTGATCATAACAGAACAAGCATCTCTCTGGCGAAAGAAACTGGATGGTGCCAAAAACCCAGCCAA